AATCGACGATATTGACGGCTAAAGGAGTATCTATCGGTTGATAAGGGTCGGTGAGGTCTCCAGGCCTTGGCTTGTCAATAGAGTCGTGCCCGGATAAACATATTTCCTATTCTTATCATCCAAAGCTCTCTCTTCGAGGACAACAAACATCAGAGATGTTGGTTAGACTGTCTGTAACCCACAGAACTGCCTGAATGGCGACGCGGCGGCACCCGCTGCCCCAGAAACCCTAATTGGCTCGGGCGGGATGGGAATAAATCCGAGCCCGAATCCGGTAGTTTATCGATATTGAGTCGAGACAACGAAGTCGCAGGACTGACCATGGGGAGATATAATGTGACTATGTTGTGAGGACATCTTGCCACGAGTTCATTAACTCTCTAGCTGAACTAGGGGTGGTCCAAGTCAAATTCCATTTCTCGGGGACAAATGAGCCGGCTGTTGATACGACCATTCGGCTTGTTTACTTCCCGCTAGTTACGGATATATCACGGGATTCGATGACGGCGCTACGGCAACAGATCGGTGGTTCATGAGTCCCTGGACAGCTCCTGGCACCGGTTTATATATCCTTGTCGATGTCTCTAGCTGCACAGGCACGCTGAGATCAAGTTCTTAACAAGTACTTGGTGCTGAACCCCGATACCTGACCCGGTTCGACTAACGCTATAGTCGCTGGCATCTAATATCAATAGGTAGTATGTGTATTTTGCCTTCTGCCCCACATCCGGCCTGTACAATTGTCTAATATAAACAGAGGCAGCCCGGACCCTAAGCCTCGGACACGCAAAATAGTTGTATACATTACAACACGCTACTAAATCGCTGCCATTGATGAAAGTCGTGCAGTATGAGCAAGGGAGATACTAATTCTTCTGCCTTTGCAGCCCATCAGAACAGGAAAAGCAGCGTGGAAGAGCAGGTCTGTTTTCAAGGAGAGCAGTGGGAAGTATAGACTATACTCTAGGGAGTATATACTGCGATGGACGGACACAGAGTACACTATGATTGAGGGACACTATACCCTTTATAGTAATTCACTGGGAGCACGGCCATTTAGCAGTGTAGTAGACGGTAGTATCTCGTTCTTAGTGCCGGCAACAAATCACGGAGATACGGCACATATGAACAATACTACGATAGACAGGGGCTGGTCGTGTTAAAATTTGCCTGATTCCATGGTTTCACATGTCGAGGTCCCATTTCTGATTAGTTTCCCAACGCTGTAAATGGAAAGTCTCCAAATGTCTGGGGCAGATTGACGTCACGTGGATAATCTCTCCGCAGCCTCGGCACTTGCCTGATGTGGACAGCCAGAACATGACGCAGAAAGACACCGATAGGCCAATCAACAAAAGATTACCAGACCAGCAAATGACCTGCAGAATGCTTACCTCATCGTCGATACTGGCCGAGGTGAACAATCGATGACCCTGATTGGACAGCACACTGGCCCTCACTGATCGGGCATGTGAAAAGGCCTCCAGGGCTGCCAGTAGATTAAAAAAAAAAGAGTGACCACCTGCTATCCAAAGATTTCGCTGGCTGCCGAGGGCGCTTGTGTGCTGATCGCTGAATGTTTTAGACTTTTGTCCGAGTGCCTTACCTCCACTGCTTATTTTCCTTCATCCCAACTGGTCCTGGCGACAGTTCCCCGTGACGGAGACCTCCGTGTCATCCATATATCTATCCACCCTCTTCCCTCCGTCTTACCCCAGATTCTCTTCTCCATACCCCTCTGTGTTTTTGTGCCGATTACTCCGAGAAGCGTCTCGTCACTGTACACACTTCTGGCCCTTGAGAGCTCGTAATCTCTCTCCCCAATACTTCTTCTGGTCATATATTGTTCGTTTCATTCTCACACACGATCATGTCCAAAACCTTCTCAAAGGAAGACGTCGCATCGCATAACAAGCCAGATAACCTCTGGGTTGTTATCGATGAAGATGTGTATGACTTGACTAAGTTTCAGGACGAGCACCCTGGTATGTTTGAACAGTTCCGTGGATCGTCACATGTATTCACGCGATGCTAACGTCACTCTGCATAGGTGGAAAAAAGAGTACGTCATAATGCCTACTATCCTCGATGGGGGTGCCGATGTTAATTATGTACATCTAGTTCTTTCGCGGGTCGGAGGAAAGGATGCTTCGAAGCAGTTCTGGAAGTATCACAACGAAGGAATTCTCAAGAAGTACAAGGGCAAGCTGCAGGTTGGTTCCTTGAACACAAAGGCCGCAGATGCACCGGCACCGGAACCAGCCGCAGCCAAGGAAACCCCCAAACCTAAGCAGGCAGCTCCAGTGGACGTTGTTTCGGCCAAGTCGTCCGAGCCTCAAGACCCTTATGGTGACTTGATCCCCTTTGCCGATCCCTCATGGTATCAAGGCGTAAGTTTGCCTGGGACAAACAACTCGGGAAACTACAGGCTAACCAACGATTTCTCGACAGTACTCCTCTCCATACTTCAACCAGACTCACGCAGCTCTCCGCGAAGAAGTTCGCCAATGGGTTGAGTCTGAGATTGAACCCTACGTGACCGAATGGGATGAGGCCAAGAATGTTCCCGATCATATTTACAAGCAGATGGGTGAGCGGGGCTACCTTGCAGGTCTCTTGGGCGTCAAATACCCTGTCAACCACACAGACTACCGTGTGCAGTCTGTCGCTCCTGAAAATTGGGACTTGTTCCACGAGATGCTCCTTACCGACGAGCTGTCTCGCGCAGGTAGTGGTGGCCTTGTCTGGAACTTGATCGGTGGCTACGGTATCGGTTGCCCCCCACTAGTCAAATACGGCAAGAAGCCTCTTGTTGACAGAATCCTCCCCGGCATTTTGAATGGCGATAAGCGTATCTGTCTTGCTATTACCGAGCCAGATGCTGGAAGCGATGTTGCTAACCTTACCTGCGAGGCTAAACTCACCCCTGATGGCAAGCACTACATTGTCAACGGTGAGAAGAAGTGGATTACCAACGGTGTCTATGCCGATTACTTCACTACTGCTGTTCGTACGGGCGGGCCCGGTATGAATGGTATTAGTGTCCTTCTCATTGAGAGAGAGCATGGTGGAGTCAGCACGAGGCGCATGGACTGCCAGGGTGTCTGGAGCAGCGGCACAACTTATGTCACCTTCGAGGATGTTAAGGTGCCGGTGGAAAACCTCATTGGAAAGGAAAATCAGGGTTTCAAGGGTAAGCTTCCTAGTGCTCCTGCTTCTCTTTCCACATCCACTAACCGATTGTGTAGTCATCATGACCAACTTTAACCACGAGCGCATTGGGATTGTCATCCAATGTGTCCGGTTTGCTCGTGTGTGCTACGAGGAATCGATGAAGTATGCCCACAAGCGTAAGACCTTTGGCAAGAGACTCATAGATCACCCTGTTATCCGTATGAAGCTCGCACACATGGCCCGTCAAATTGAAGCGACGTACAACTGGCTGGAAAACATCATCTATCAATGTCAAGCCATGGAGGAGACTGAAGCGATGCTCAAGCTGGGCGGTGCAATCGCAAGTCTCAAGGCTCAGTCAACAACTATCTTCGAGTTCTGCGCTCGTGAGGCTAGTCAGATTTTTGGTGGTCTGAGCTACAGCCGCGGCGGCCAGGGCGGTAAGGTGGAGCGGCTATACCGTGATGTTCGTGCCTACGCTATCCCTGGTGGAAGTGAGGAGATCATGCTGGACTTGAGTATGCGTCAGAGTCTACGTGTGCACAAGATGTTTGGCATGAAGTTGTAAATGAGCGCACTTGGTTTTCTTCTCGTACATTTATTCCCCCTCTTCGTCCTCGATGTTGTTTGGATGTCACCTTGGTTTTGGGTATATAGAGCTTTTTAGATCCAGCTCACTTGGCAGTTTAGTGATCTCTTAGGTTCAATTCACTGTACTATATGTTGCTTGGACCATGTCTTAAAGAGTAGAAATACCCCACCTAAAACATGAAAGGGCCACCTGGCTTTGAAATACTTGTCGATTTAGCTCTAGTGTATGGTCTTGGTATTCCTGACACGGGCATTGATCGTTCATCCTTGGATGTAGCACTTTCTTGGTTACTAGAGCGATACCATAGATTGACCAACTTAACATAACCTAGGAGGTCTTGTATGGGCTGGTTGCAGACAGTACTACTACTAGTAGTATATATTAGTAGTTTCCCATCTAAGATGTGCTTAGTATAAAATTTTCGCTTGTAACAACAGCCATGCCTTAGGGTTACCTATCTATTTAGCATGTGGCAAATGTTCAGGGAGCCTGTAGATATTATAATGAACAAGAATCAATCACCATGGGAATAGTTGAATAACGAAAAGGTACTTAGTAGTACGTACTAGTATCTACAAAAGATATCTAGAGCGAATGACGCTCATTGGCTCAATCAGAGCACTAGGAAGAACTCCGTCGCCGCAGTTGAGCCAATTGCGCAACCCATGGATTCGTCTTCAACAACCCTCCGACAGTCTTATAAAGACCACTGATCTTGCGCCACCTCCCACTTCTTCTGTTACAGCTTGCTACCCTGGTGGGCTTTATCTTGTTGTGGTCTGGTGTGGGTAGTTTCGTCCTTTTTTCTCTTGCCCTCTCACCCCCGATTGACTCGTGCCGTGATCGCGGACTCGCCGAAGGATAACGCCGCCCGCCTGGCTGGCCGAAGCAACAGAAGGCTATTTGATACCCATTTTTCGTCCGGGAGTTCTTTGTGAATCGTGGGACCTCAGCGATTCCCTATCCCGATTACATAATAGGTATTGCGCCCTTTCGTCTTACCTTGGATTCGACAGTGTTCTCGGTTTTCTACGCCTTCCTTATCCGCGATCTCGATTTCTCCCGAACTGTATGCTCGAAAGCTCAAAGTGATCTAACTGTGACTTTCTTCGCGCCACTAGGTCGTCAATAATCATAATACGGCCCTCTTGCGACTTATCTCTCAATCACTTAGTCCGAAATAACCCCGAACTAAGCCCCAGTTCGAAGCCACTTTACCAACACTCCACGCAATATGTCACGAAACATGCTGGATCACGACTTCGGTTCTGAAGACGAAGATGATGACTTCAACCCCGTTCCCGCATACGATTCAGACAATGAAGACACTAGGGTCAGTACTACAGATACCTTAGACGATAGTGGCTAGTGGTGCTAACACGTTTGGGGTTATAGCCGACGCATCAAGACCGGGACGATGATGACGACGAAGAAGATGTAAAGCCTACACGACGGGTGGAACGTCGAGTCGGTAGCGAGGAGGCTGAAGATAACGAAGATGCCGACGGCCATGACGACGAGGAAGAAGAGGAGAACGATGATGACGAGGAGGAGGAGGAGGAAGATGATGATGAAGAGGATGCCGTGTCTGTGAGTGCTAGCACCATTTAGGCTGCGCCTGATTCCATCGTAGCCAATACTGACCATCGTTCTTATCAATAGCGACCCAAAAAGCGCAGAAGGAGAGGAGGCGTGCACAATTTCTTCGAGGAAGAGGCCGGCGTCGATGAAGATGAAGATGAGGCCGAGGATGAAGAGGATGAAATGGCCGAACTTGGTGGGGAAATGCATCCAGATGATATGGATGCGCTGCCTGTCGGCGCTGAGACTGACGACCGTCGCCACCGACAGCTCGATCGCCAGCGCGAGCTTGAGGCCAGCATGGATGCCGAGAAGCAGGCGCAGTTACTCAAAGAACGTTACGGACGGAACCGTGCTGCAGCCTCCGATGCAGTCGTCGTACCGAAGCGTCTACTACTTCCTAGTGTCGAGGATCCTAGCATCTGGGGTGTCCGTTGTAAGCCCGGCAAAGAACGGGAGGTTATTTTCGCCATCCAGAAACGTATGGAAGAGCGACCTATGGGCTCTCGCAACCCTATGAAAATCATTTCTGCCTTTGAGCGTGGAGGAGCTATGAGTGGGTACATATATGTTGAAGCCCGTAGGCAAGCGGACGTCATGGATGCATTGCAAGATATGTCCAACGTCTACCCACGGACGAAGATGATCCTAGTTCCTGTGCGAGAAATGCCGGACCTTCTCCGGGTGCAAAAATCCGAGGAACTCTTGCCCGGTGGCTGGGTTCGTATCAAGCGTGGCAAGTATCAAAACGATCTGGCCCAGATCGAAGAAGTTGAAACCAACGGTCTCGCTGTGACTGTTCGCTTGGTTCCGCGTTTAGACTATGGCTTGAACGAGGACACTGGTGCGCCTTTTATGGATCCCAAAAGGAAGCGTCCTGGCATGAACCCCGCGGTGGCCCGGCCGCCTCAACGTCTGTTCAGTGAAGCTGAAGCTAAGAAGAAACACGGAAAATATCTATCTGCCACGTCTGGATTGGGTGGAAAATCCTGGAGCTATCTAGGAGAGACCTACATCGACGGTTTCTTAATCAAGGACATGAAGGTACAACATTTAATCACGAAGAATGTGAGTCCACGGCTTGAGGAGGTTACCATGTTTGCTCGAGGCTCAGAGGACGGCACTGCCAATCTAGACCTTGCGTCTCTCGCGGAAACACTCAAGAATTCCACGGCTGAAGACTCTTACCTTCCAGGAGATCCAGTTGAAGTGTTCCGTGGTGAACAGCAGGGCTTGATCGGTCGCACTACTTCTACTCGCGGTGATATCGTTACTCTACAAGTTACCGAAGGCGACCTTGCAGGACAACACATTGATGCCCCTGTCAAATCTCTTCGTAAGCGCTTCAGGGAGGGTGATCATGTCAAGGTTATCGGTGGTAGCAGGTATCAAGATGAACTGGGTATGGTGGTCCAAGTTAAGGACGACACCGTAACGTTACTTAGCGATATGAGCATGCAGGAGATCACGGTGTTCAGCAAGGATCTTCGACTCTCTGCCGAAACAGGTGTTGACGGAAAGCTTGGAATGTTTGACGTACATGATCTGGTGCAGCTAGAGTGAGTAACTCGGCCCTATACTTATTGCTTGTTCTTTTATCTGACTTCTTAATAGCGCCGCTACTGTTGCTTGTATTGTCAAGGTTGATCGAGAATCCTTGCGGGTTTTGGATCAAAATGGCTCGATTCGCACTATCTTGCCTACTCAAGTAACAAACAAGATCACACCGCGTCGGGATGCGGTAGCTACGGATCGGAATGGTGCAGAGATTCGACATGGAGATACTGTCCGCGAGGTGTACGGTGAACAAAGGAATGGCGTGATCCTTCACATTCACCGTTCATTCCTGTTCTTGCATAACAAGGCTCAGGCTGAGAATTCTGGTATTACTGTCGTGCGTACGACCAACGTTGTAACAGTATCAGCCAAGGGAGGCCGGTCTACGGGCCCTGATCTTACTAAGATGAACCCGGCTCTGATGAGTCGTGGCGCACCTGGTGGCACGATGGGACCCCCGAAGAGCTTTGGTCGCGACAGGATGATCGGAAAGACAGTCATGGTCCGAAAGGGACCCTTCAAAGGTCTTGTGGGTATTGTCAAAGATGCGGGAGATGTGCAGGCACGCGTGGAGCTCCATTCCAAGAACAAGCTAGTGTCGATCCCCAAGGAGCTTCTCGTTGTCAAAGACCCCGTAACGGGTCAAACAATCGAAATGGGCCGCGGCAGAGGAGGACCACGCGTCCCTTCAGCAGCTCCACCATCGGGCTGGCATGGTGGCCGCACACCGGTGGCAGCTGCAGATTCATCCAGGACCCCCGCTTGGGGCGGTGCATCTTCTGCGAGGAGTAAGTCTTTCCATGTTTCATGCCTTTGGTCTACGATGCTAACAAAGCGCTTCAGCACCTGCTTGGGCTGGTATGGGCGGTTCCCGCACACCAGCATGGAAGAACGATGGATCCCGTACATCGAACCCCTACGATGGAAGCCGCACCGCATATGGTGGATTCGGCTCACGTACCCCGGCCTGGAACGCAGCGCCCGGACTCCCTACGGCGGCTCCGGCTCCGGCTCCGGCTCCGGACAAAGTGACTTCGACGCCTTCGCAGCCGGCTCCAGAACCCCGGCCTGGAACGCAAACTCCGGCAGTCGCACCCCGGCCTGGTCCTCAGGAGCTACGGCAAGCAACGGCAGCAAAGACTCCCGTGGCTACGACGCCCCCACTCCAGGCGGAGCCTATTCTGCACCCACCCCCGGCGCATACGGTAGTGCTCCAACCCCCGGTGTCTCAGCGCCCACGCCTGGAGCCTGGGCCGATAGTGCCCCGACACCAGGAGCATTCAACGCCCCTACCCCCGGCGGGCCGTCCAAGAAGCCGTACGATGCCCCTACACCCGCTGCCTGGGACAGTCGTCCGTATGACGCCCCTACCCCAGCGATGGGTGGAGACGGCGATGATGCAGGACCACGGTACGACGAAGGAACGCCTAGCCCTTAATGCCATTTATTACAGGGCATAAATAAAGAGGAAAGGTTCAATCGGGGAGGGGCAACCTGGCGTAGTCATGTATCTCATTTATCCTTACATTTATATCTTTTATGTTTCTTATAAAGCAATACAGGGCATGGTTAATCGGTCAACTTTGTTCTATGGAAGTGTATCATTCATTGTATTATGGCATTAAAATATCAAAATATCAACCGTTATATCCCACTCAGGTTTTGGAGTGAGCTGCGCACTTAGTCACAGTAGATATATTAAGAAACCCTCTGTCTGATACAAGGTAATGGTATTTATATAGATTATACAAGTCGTAAATAATGTCACAAGAGAAGGTTAGGTAAGGGGGGAAGGGAAGTGAAAAACATGTTCCTAACCATGAGAAACCCATTTGAAATCTGAACGGCTGGACGAAGACCAAGAAAGATGGAGGGTAGGGAGAAGGAAAGAATGGAAAAGTGAAAAAGGAAAAGGAAAAATATGGTGGAGAGGAAACAGAAAGGGCGTGACGCATCATTCATCATCTCTTTCCATGAGAAGGATATATGTAGTTGGACGGTTATTAAAACATACAGGTATAAAGTAAATCAATCCGGCAGAGAATGTACCATGTAAACTTGACTTTTGTTTTCCATATGCAGCTCTCATAGATCCATTTGTTCTTTGGGATCTTCAGGGCCGTCGTCTTTCTATATTACGTGAGGGAAAAAAAAAAAAAAAACCATTCGGTGGCGTAGTGTGCGATGCAAACCCGAATCAACAACAATTCCAAGGGGCATGGAATAGATTTATGGAGGCACTGCTCGTGCAAGGATGCGAATATTATCCACAAATCCCTTAACAAGCTCTTCGTATTGGTTCTTAGGGTCGCCAGCCATGGCAAGCTGACCCTGACGGCGGATCTCAGCGGCGGAGATTTCAACTTCGAGTTCATGTTCGAATTCGCCTTTGGATGATGGCTATACAGCACAGATTAAGTCAGAAGTGTCTTTAATCAACTGGTAGATAATTGGCCATCTAGTGAAACCGGGGAAAAGTAAGCGACTTACTTCAGATTTGGCCACTTGTGTAAGGTCGATCTGGTATGCAAGATGCCGATAGCTCATACGATCCTTGTTTCGCTCTCCGCCGCGTCCCCGACCGGGATCTACCACGGTGAGGTGGCTGACATCGCCTTCATAACTCATTTCCAGGTTGACGCTAATTCGCCAATCAACACATGTGCGAGGGCTGTAGACATCAAGGTCGGCAATTCGGCATTTCACGATCTTTGCGAGGACCTCGCCCGTTCGTTGGTCTAAAGTTACTCGCACCTTGGGTTTGTGGCGAGGATTAAGATTCTGCCTAATCACAGGTGGAAGCTCTGATGGTGATATTTCGTAAAAGGTATCCCGCTCCTTCTTATGTGCGTACGATAATGGGATGCGTCCTGGGTTAGCTTGCGGCATAGACATCTTCACGGCTTCGTTCAGAAAGTTATTCATTGCCCGGTGTTGTGCCTACCCAATGGTTAATCAGTTATTCAATATAGTCTCAACTGAAGCGAGTGACTCCGGTTAAGAAATGAGGGCGAGAAAATAATTTACTTACTAATGTCATCGTGCTCTCGAACGCAGTTCGCAAGCGGGTGTTTTCCTTATTCACAATACCTTCGGTCGAGATGGGCAAGAGAAGTCTCTCACCCCTGTCCATGTCAACGAGCTGTCCCAGCTTGGCTTCTACCTCGATCATTGCTCCCTGACCGGCTGCTGCCGTACCAGCAGGAGCCGCAGTCGCGTCGTTCCTCATAACCACATGTTGGAACAAGAAATCGCAGACCGTTTTTGTGACCTCCTCGTGCGGGATATACCCATAGATAGAGGGTTCCCACGGTCCCAAGCTTCCTGCCTGAGCAGGCTCTGGAGGCCGCCGGGGGGCCGAAGGGCCACTAACTGGTGGTGTCTCGCTTTTGGGTTTGGCTGGAGAATTTGCGGCGGAAGCCTGGGCTGAAACGTTTTGTTGGCGCATTAGGAAGGGATTTTGCGTCGAATTTCTCGCATGCTTCGGGATCGGTGGACAGCGGTTTGGGATCATCGGAATCCTCCCTTTGGTGCGTACTGATCTTCGGGCATAGATTGGCGGTTCTTCATAACGCCTCCTCTTCACTCTGGATGCTTGCGGACTTGAACTGGCCCTTGCATCTGGAGTCAGGTCCATCTTTGTTGGCAACGGGCGGGCTTGATCGATCGCAGAGGAATCGTCTGTCAGAGATTTCCGAGCGGGCGGTGAGCTGTCAAAGTTTGAGGCTGCTGGGGCAGGCTGGGGTGTTTGGAGGTTGGGCGGGCTTTCCTTCAAGGAGACACCATTTTCGGTGGGCTTCGGTTGAGAAGAGGACGCTAGGTCGGTGTATCCGGCCGTGCTCCCTTGCCGAGACCCAGAAGGAAAAGCGGTTTTCGGACTAACACTCTCATCCGAGTCCCTTCTATCGGTCGCCGAAGAATTTTGTCTCGGGGTTTGTTCTAGCGGTCTTGAATCCTGTCGCGAGACACGGGGCATCGCCGTTGGCGACATTTGAACCTGAGCATCCGGACCAACCCACGGGCTTGAGGCACGATTTGACAAGGATTCATGGCCGGAGGATTGGGGGCGCGCAGACGGGGGCGTTTGGCGGGTATAAGATGCAGCAACAGAACCTCGCGGTGTATTGGGTACGGATCCTTGGGCTGGAGGGGAGAATTGCTGTGACGGGTAAGACTGCGAAGCAGCCGCTGGCGGGCTTTCCCTGGGATGGAATGAGTAGGTGGAGGTGGATGAGGGGGTCAGGACAGACTGGATGGATTGCGAGCGCTGCTGCTGCTGCTGCTGCTGCTGCTGCTGGGGATGCCCATAGGTTGAGAAGGAGTCACGCGAGGTGGAGGAACCATAGGGGGGAGGACTTGGGCCGCGCTGAGATTGTGCGCCTGCACCCTGTGCGGAGGGAGGGTGGTATTGATAGGGCGATTGGAGCGATCCGTATGAAGACGAACGTTCTGGGGAGGCATGAGGACGTTGTAGGGGCGGAGGCTGAGGGGGGTGACTCGAATAGGCAGATGGATAGGAGGAGGTCCGTTGTTGGTCGCGGGGAGCATACATGGGATCCGAAGGCCTACGCGACACTTGCGACGGAGACTGGAGAGGAGCAGTTGATGGAGCATCCGAAGTGCCCGAGGCATCGTTGTTCATAATCGTGCGCAAATCCATGACGGCGAAGGGATTTTGGTGGTGGAAGTATTGTTCGTGGTATAGTAACTAATATAACTTACGTAGCTTGATGGAGCTTCGGGAGCTGCGACCCCCCTTCCACAACACCCCGAACTAACCGGGGTAGAAGTGGCTCTTTGACGAGAAAAAAGAGTAAGGGGCGAGGAAATGGTGTCACCACATGGAATCGACTCGAATGGATGGGGTTGTTGCAGAGAACGTAGGAGAGCGACGGGGGAGGTAAAAGGGAGAGAGAAAAAGAAGAGAAGGAGAAAAAGAATAGTTGGAGATAAACCGAACTTGGTTCAGTCGCGGGATGCGGAAGTCGTGATTGGACAGCTCCTCGACTATGAACTGCTATAGCTTCAGAAATTAGTATTAAAATAATAAAAAGAAAAATTGTATATCTTCGGTAGAGGATTATAATATCCGATAGATAGAATAGAAATTATTCATGTATCTCTCAATTCCAATGCGGCTTTCGGTGCCATTCGCTTTGTGCTGGATCTCTTATCCTGTGTAATTTCCATGCAATCGCTCAATCTGGCTCACGACTATAAAATTACAGTACCTTGTTCAATCCCGCAATGTGTTCTTAAGTCAAAGCATTTCCCTCTCCTTTTTTCTTTTTCTCTTTCTCTTCTCTTTCGCGTTTGCTTCTTCTGAGCTTCTCTTCCTTCGTTTACAGATCAATCACTCCTTCTTCTTTGTTTTTCTTGTCCGGTTCTGTCTTTCCTTTCGATTTTGAATATTTCTTGGCCTCTATACAAGTGGATATCTATATCTATATTTATATCTATATACGATCTATATCTTGTAGTTCACCCCGCCAAAT